GAGGACAGAGGGACAGAGGACAGAGGGACAGAGGGACAGGAAGATGGGACAGAAGGACAGAGGACAGAGGGACAGAGGACAGAGGGACAGAAGGACAGGAAGATGGGACAGAAGGACAGAGGACAGAGGGAAAGAAGGATTAACAATCAGCTGTTAAAGAAAATAACTGAATAAACTTCAGCTGTCAACCCAACCATGTAAATTATGACATTTTTCTTTTGCTAGGTTTGCTAATTTTAGCCCTTTACTACAGTTTTGCTATCTTTAATTGTGGTTTTGCACATTTCAGCTATTAGCCATAACTTTGCTAATATTAGCTATTAGCTACATTTTAGCTGAAAAATGGCTTTAGCTACAGTTAATCTAATTTTAGGTTTTAACAACTGTTTTGCTTGTTTTAGCTTTAAGCTACAGTTTTGCCCATTTTAGCTTGTGTTCTGCTGGTTTTAGCTTTAGCAGACGAGTTTCGGCTTGTTCCCGGCAGCTCAGTTTTCTCACAGGAAATGATCATTTCTCTGATTCACTGAATTAATATTTTTATTTTTCTGTTTTTATCTTTAATTTAAAACAGTTTCCTTCCGGCATCAAAAGGTCAAACTGAAAAAACATGATGTAAAATAATGTTTTCAGCTGGTTTAATTTATTTAAAATCAATAAAGTTATTAAATTTGTTTGTTTTTCCTTGATTGAAGTCATGTATTTGTGGCACAGATTGACAGTTTTTAATAAGTCTGCTCATGTATGACAGAGATTTTTTATCCCTGATGTAGAGTTCAGTCAGAGTTCATGTAAAAATATCACAGCTAGTTCACTTAATCAGTTTAATTCAATAAACAGGCTGTTTACTTTACATATAAATATAGATTAAAATAAATACAAGAGTTCTGGTGGAACATTCAGAACCAACAGGACACAGAGACGGACTGTAGAACTGCTGCAGAACCAGAACCTTAAATATTAGAAGCTGAAGGGTCTTTGAAGACTCAGAGTTTTAAATTGAGATCATCTCAGGCTGAGAAATGATGGAGGATGAAAAAACAACAGTTTGATCTATTAGCTCTCAGGTTATCTGTTGGAGTGACTCTCAGCTACTACCACCTGCTAACATCCAACCAGGAAGCTCACCGTGCTGCTAAAAGACCAGAGACTGAGAAAATGTGCAAATAATCATTTCATACCATATGATAGATGGATGGATGGATGGATGGATGGATGGATGGATGGATGGATGGATGGATGGATGGATGGATGGATGGACAATGGATGGATGATGGATGGATGGATGAAGGATGGTCGATGGATGGATGGATGGATGGATGGATGGATGAAGGATGAATGGATAAAGGATGGATGGATGGATGAAGGATGGATGGATGGATGGATGGATGAAGGATGGACGATGGATGGATGGATAGATGTTGGATGATGGATGGATGGATGGATGAAGGATGGATGATGGATGGATGGATGAAGGATGGATGATGGATGGATGGATGGATAGATGTTGGATGATGGATGGATGGATGAAGGATGGATGGATGGATGGATGGATGAAGGATGGATGGATGGATGAAGGATGGATGAAGGATGGATGGATGGATGGATGAAGGATGGATGGATGGATGAAGGATGGATGAATGGAGGATGGATGGATGGATGGATGAAGGATGGATGGATGAAGGATGGATGGATG